ACTTACACTTTTAGGATCAACCTGGATGCTACAATCGGCTTTTCCATCTCTCGTAAAAAGTGAACGCGGGGAAGGCGGCTGCTGGATTTTTGTTTTTGGCTTTGTTTTGCTTGCTTTTATCAAATCGATTATGGGTCACCGGTATTGTTGCAGGTGCTCGACCGGTGTATGTAAATACAGGTTCAGCTCGTGCAGTTTATGCGGGTACAACTCGTAGTGCTGCGCCTCAATCGATGAGCATGGCGGCACGTGCCACTGCTCCGATGATGCTGAACGGAGCTCCCTCTGCTCCACGGATGAGGGCTACTCATCAAGGTGAGTGCTCATGCCGTTGTGAAAAGGACTTCTTACAACATCATTCGTTTAATATTCGTATTATCGGGAGAAAACGACGTATTTTTGGTATTCGCCGAGGTTAGTTGCTGGAACGTTTTTCTTTTTTGGGTTGTGTAAAGACGAAGCTTTCGCCTTTGCATCTCCCATTTTGGGGAAGGGGAGGGGGGGCATGGGTAAGCAGACGAGGGGAGGGGGCAAGGCGAAAGCTTCACTTTCACACCTGTAAAGAGAACATATACTTAGCTGAGAACGAGTTTGAATTAGAAGGGAACTGAACTGAGCTGGATCGGACATACTTTTGACTTGTGATGACGTGAGCGTAGACATGGATGGGGCCAGGGGAAGATTGCCCGGTCACTTACCCAGTGGAAAAGCTTGGACTCGAAAAATGAGCTCTGGAAATAGCGACTTGATTGAAAAGACCTCGACCCTCCTCCCCTCTTTCAGTCGTTTCTTTTCCCTGATAAAGACTAGACCATGACTTAATTGTCAGTAACCAAGGGATCATACCACCAGCAGCATAACCTTGAGGAGTCTTATTGCACCTAGGGCTTCGAGCGATCCTGAGGAATCTACCCTCACTGGTAGGTTGAGAGGCCCCCTCACCTTCAATGCCACCAAATTGTTTTGAAGGATTGTCAGGGAGGACGATTTCGCCACATTGCTTTGGGTTCAAAGAACGCGCTTAAATTAATGTTTTATATGACAGCAAGTCTCTTTCGCTTTCCTGCAATTGCCTCCATCTTCTTCGGCATCTTATTCCCCTAAGTTCATGGGAGGTAAGTTGGGGGCTAGTCCCAGGCAGAGAGCCCCGCTAACGCGCGGTTTAGGACATTTTTCCTTAGTTTCGATTCCGAAACAATTGTGGAACAACTGCGCGAGCCCCGCTTTTGCGGGCTGAGCCAGTCTCGAGGGAATAAGGTGCCGAGGAAGATGGGAGTAGCACCAGACAGGCCACCTGGGTGGCTAGTGGGGGTGCTGTACCCACCTGAAGAATATTTCCCCCTATTAGGACTCGTATTGTGCGCCTTGGTAGTATATTGTTGTGAGTCTCTCGACACATGGGTCCTCCCTCCTCTCCCCACCTCCTCCCCCCTCCTTTTCTAGCCCGCCCCTCTCCCCCTCCCTCCGTTCCGCCGCCCTTCTTCCGTGCTCCCTTCTACCCTCCATCATTGTGCCGGAATTTGTAATTACAAATTACTTCTGTTAGGAAATGTTATGTTTGCATGTCTGCATGTTTGTATATATGTGTGTGACATGCTGTGCTTTTCGCGGTATTAAAATCGGTTGTTTTCAATCTCATTCAGATCCATGGATTGATAAAATGAAAGGGAAAAGGGTGTTTAATATCGTTTGCTGTCATAGTATATGTTAACTGGTGAGTTAAACAAAATTTTCGAAGTAGTCCGAGACAGAATCCCTTCCCCCCTCCCCATTTCCTTTTTTTTGCGGCTTTTTTCGAATTCCCCCTTTTCCATTTTTTTTTTTGTGCAGGTTTTTTACACCCTGCACCGAGTTGCGAAAAAAAAAGTGCTCATTTTTGTGCAAAATTAACCGTACGATGAATTTTACAGGCATGGTAACAATGCAGCAAGGTGGTGGACAGATGATGCGGGC